TATCATGGCCAAATAGGTTGAGGACCATTTTCAGGTAGAAGAGATGAGAAACAGAATGGGAGAGACCAGCTAGCTCCACGTACAGTATTAATCTAGTTGTCAGAGGTCAACTAACATCAAAAACAACAACAGAAGTTCTCTTGCACCTTAAAATTTCCACTTTGCCGGGCATCCCCTGCAACATAAGCCATAAATACTTCTCATCAGGAACCTCAAACCACTCCATGGAAATAATCTCAGAGTTTAAGAAAGTGTGAAATAGGTGAAGGTGGTCAAAAGGTACAAACTTCCAGCTATAAGATAACTAAGTCCCGGCAATGTAATGTACAGCGTGGTGACTATAGTTAATAATACTGTATTGTACATTTGAAAGTTGCTGAGAGAGTAGATCTGAAAGTTCTCATCACAAGGCAAACAATTTGTAACTATGTGAGGTGATGCATGTTAACTAAACTTCCTGTGGTGATCATTTCAAAATATATACATATATCAAATCATTATGTTGTACTCCTGAAACACATACCATGTTGTATGTCAATTATATCTCAATAAAACTGGAAAAAATAAAGGGCTCAGGAATTTTAATTTCACTAAACTGATGAGAAAACCAAGAAGGAATCTGGTAGCAGAGCCAAAGTCAGAAGTTGGCATGGGTCTCATTGATCATGACAGCTGGTTGACTCTCCTGTTCTTCCTCTATGCTTTGGCTTGCTGGGACATATCGATGGGAGAGTACTATGAAATGCTATCACACAGTCTGCTGACCATGCTTTCCAGCATTTTGTCATTTCTGTTTCTCCCAGTTTAGATCCTTTCATGGCCCACATTCAGCGAAGAAAGCACAGGAAAGAGGGAGCTTCGTCTCCCACATGTGCTGCCCACCCGTGTCATGACTTCCACATTCCCTACACAGGCCTGAGCCCAGTCTAAGCCGCACCACGTGCTGCACACTGATGATTAGAGAATTTGGGAGTTGCAAGTAAGAGAAAAATGAGCAAGGTTAAAAATATCAATGACTGCAAACATTCTTTATAGAGAAGTGGGAATTAGCAAGGGTCCAGCGGCAGTCATGGCTTTTAATGGTATTAAAAAAACTCAAACCTTGGGGGCTGGCCCTGTGGCCAAGTGGTTAAGTTCGCGCGCTCCGCTGCAGGCAGCCCAGTGTTTCGTTGGTTCGAATCCTGGGCGCGGACATGGCACTGCTCATCAAGCCACACTGAGGCAGCGTCCCACATGCCACAACTAGAAGGACCCACAACGAAGAATATACAACTATGTACTGGGGGGCTTTGGGGAGAAAAAGGGGAAAAAAATAAATAAGTAAAATCTTTAAAAAAAACCAAAAACCCCACACATTTCATATTTCGAAACTATTGAATGAAATCCTTCCCAGATTTTTAAAATAAATCCAATACTCCCAGAGAGAATGCATTAAAATCTTTCTGATCTACCTATCTCAATTCTATTACTTAGAAGTCTAGACTAACTGAGTGAATAACACATAGAAGGCGATAATTCCAAATTACCTTGGTTAGGTTTGTCTCTTACCTACGGTGGCCTTCTAAGGATGGTCACTGCAGCCTTGGGATCTGGTGGCCACTGAAATATCCATTCTCCCTCTTGTAATCCTAGCAGCATTTAATTCTCCTTCACTCATTTGACACAAGTGAGGAGGAGAGAAAAGATGATCCATGTTTAAACCCACAAGTCCTAGTCTCATAACACATCTTTCTTTCCTGCCCAATTGTACTGCTCCCTTTTCTCCCAGGTTTTCACTGCCTGTACGGTGGAGTTGGAAAGCCTTCTGTTCTAGAGTGGGTGAGATGTGTTCTGGGCCTAGCAAGTAAGAGCTGTGAACAGACATCAGCTGCCACAATAGTGAGAGTCTAGAAGGCAGAGTAGGTCTGGTGCTTGCTGGTAGGTATACATTGGCTTTTTTCTCGGGAACTCTAATTCCATTTTTGCTCTAGTCTTTATTTGCATCTACTTGTCATCTAAGACTGAAAATATCACCAGCTGAATTTAGCATAGATTCTAAGTAATGGAAACAGGCTTATAGCTCATAAAGTATACCGTTTCCTAATGTGTGTTCTGCAGAAGGCCACCCCTGCGAGGGGCTCTCTAAGAGGGGCTACCAAGGCCAAATGAACTTGGGAAAAATGACCCACTGCACTCACTCCTGGCGTCTGAGCATGTGAAAGTCTCCCCACTGTCCCACAGTAAGTGAACTCTGTTAAACTTACATGCTAGCTTTTGTAGGGGGGCTTGGGCCTCCCTTCCCAGACCACAGGATTTCTACGGGAAAGGCTCTGAATTTCAAATCTAAGTCTCCATAAACCAGAAGCATCCTAGACATCCCTGAATTTTCTGAGGACAGCAGATATTCATAAAAACATTTTGTGACCCATAAAAGGTTTACAAGGTCAAAGTGACAATAACTTTGCAATTAAAATAAATATGTACTCATACATATTAGCTAAAAGATTAAACGTATAATGTATACTTAAGGTATTCTTTTCTTTTTTTTTTTTTTTGCCATTTGGGCAGCCCAGGAGTCTGACTCATATCAAAAGAATCTAAAGGCTTCAGGACTGGACTGAATATGGAACTGCCCTACATAAAGATTCAAAATCCATGCTCAAAGAGGCTTTTTTTAGTGCAAGCCAAGCTTGTTGCATCTCGAAATTGTTCAAAGGCCCAGGTCAAGGCTGGTGGCCTTTGTTACTATTTTTGAAGTTAGACAAACTGTGTTCACCTAGAGGGGATTAAAATGGTGGATTTGTGGTGTAAGATGAAAATCCTTTGGAGCTGATACCAGAATCCTAAGCTAGTGAATGTCCACATTAAATCAAACATCTGGATGAAAAGATAAAAGAGGAAGAATTCTCCACACATTTCCAAATTTATCAGGGAATCATGTTGATCATAAAACTAAATAGTAGATCATTTTTTCCCCACATTTCACCTCCATATTCTGGGGTCACATATACATAGCTAAAAAACTCAAGGGGGCAGATGACCCATGGGTATCATTTTTAGTTTGAGTGTAGAACAATATTTTGGATACTCATATTAACTATATATTACTTTAAAAACCAATTTAGAAAGAAATGCTGCAATACTCGAGGAAAGATTGAAATTGATCCTGAAAAGTATCAGAATATTAATGTTGATATCAGTGAAAACACTGCATAGCAGCAATGTACCCATACACGGCCTGCAGGGCCAATGTTTTCTTTCTATTGTTTCTGTTTTATATATTGCTTCTATTTTTTAAGCTCCTTTACAAGGGCAGTCAGAAAACTCTGGGCCATAAACACACTTGTGGCAAATCTATATGTCTTTTAGCAGGAAAAGGGCCAGGTGTCAATCATGACATTGGCAGAGAGAAGAGGTGGGATGGAACTAACATTGAACACCTATCATTTATGAGTGCTCCACGTATATGTTCTTTCATTCCACTCCTGATGAAAACCTGTGAGGCACAAATCCTTGTACCTGTTTTATAGACAAAGGAAATCAGGACTCAGAAAAGTCCTGCAACTTGTCTAAGATCAGGGAGTAGGTAGCTGAGTCAGGATGCGAACTCTGAGCTGCCTGTTTTCTCTACAACACCAATCCAACTCCCACAGAGAAAGGTGTTTCGTGAAAACCAAAATATACATAAACAGAATGGAATTTTACTGTTTAAAGAAACAATTGTATTTCACAAGAACAGCAAGTTATGTTTAAGGCACGAGAACCTAATGCTGCGTGTGCTTGTAAACCCTGAGTGAAATGACTTTAATCCACACCGTTGATCCCCTGCAAACCAGAGATATTTAGAGCAGCCTTTGAGGGCTCTGCTTTACAGTCCTTACTGTTTCCACTTTTATATTATTCTCCTCATGCCTCCCAAAACGGAAGGAATTTTTTGAAGGCACATGAACAGTCTTACCTGTTTCCAGTCTTCAGAAACTGAAAGGGAGGAGCCACTGCAGCATGACACAAACGCTCCAGGCACGCGCCTCACTAACATACCTCAGGATGGTGTAAATTTTGGATTACAGTGGGTCTGTGGGTGTCTGTCAGAACTGAAAAAGACTGCTTCAAGCAGTCTTACCCATGACACAACTGTGGGCTGGCCTCCCAAGAATATATTACACTGCAATTTCTGTGTAATTCTTTAAACATGTATTTCAAACGCAAGGAGCAGAGAAGAATTATCAAATTAAAGTGATATTTAAAAATTTTTCTGATTACAAATTATTTCATGGTTACAACCAAATCTGTTATGTCTGCTTCTAATGCAGAATGCCCAATGGACTATATTAGAGATATCCTCAAGCAATTTGTACTATCTTGAGGGTACATACATATCTTAAAGGAACATTTGCTATTTTCTAGAATTGCTTTCATTTTCCAGGTTCATAATATTTGACTTAGTTTTTAGACTTAATGACAAATAGGACTATCATTGGTGTAACACCATAAGGATGTCATCACAAGACTAACTTCTGAACAAGCAAATGGGCCAAACGTTGGTGTTCCCAATTACTATCTGTAGGTGTCTAATTTGACTACTATTCAACACAGAAAACCACAAATATTTATGAGGCAATGAAATTTATTTTTCTTCCAAACAAACCTAGACTATTATGCGCTACTACTTAGAAATGGCTACAGAAAAACCGACAGACATTAGCAAAGGAACAAGAAGTTGGATGACATTTACAGTATTTTGTTACCAGAGAAAGAAAGGAATTTGTCACATTTGAAAAGTGAAGTTAGTAGTTGAGCAATGACAGTTCAGATACTAGGTAGAAGTGGAGTTCTAAACTTAATGGATAGTGAAAATCTAGACAGATTTCAGGAAAGCTGAGTCTGCATTACACCTTACACTAGGTACACCTTAATACTTAGTAAACAAGCCAAGTATCTTAATTGCAAGTTGAGCTTTCAGTAAAATCCAGGGACATTTGGGGACATACTTAATCTGTCCAAAGAGGGTAGTTACTCACCACATCAAAGGCAGTAAACACATGACAGTAGTGGTGGTTGGACTTCAAATCTTTTGTGATATAAGCGAACGTTGAGAGGTCTTCTGGGTCCTGGGCAGCACAGGAGATATTACGAATTTCATGCTCAGCAATTATGTTCTAGAAGAAATGACATAAAGGACCATTGTTTTCCTTTGTAAACCAGCATATTTTAGAACCAAGGTAAGTGACCCAGGAAGTAGCTGCTTTCCCACTTTCTAGAATGTTTCAGACCAGCAACATTCAAAGTGATCCAACCCACTATCCATGGGCAAATGTATGCTGGGCCCAGAAGCAATGTTTTCATTTAATTAAAAACAACCTAAAATAGTCACATCCTGGAGTGGTGGTTCTCTCCAGGTGCTGTGCACAGGAGCAGTTTGGGTGGCAGACACTTTTTAAAAAGATAGTAATTACTAAGCATTTTACTGTTTCCATTCCCCATGTCCACCTGTAGGCAGGCAGCGCTGCCTCCTGCTAACTCTGGAATGGATCTCGCCTGCCATGGTCCACAGCTGGGAGGAACACTGCCCCAAGGAGGCTGATCCCTCACCATCGTGCTGCCCGCTGTCTGTGCCCTGCCCCAACTCCCCCAGAGAAAAGGCAGACACAGAAGGCAGCAGGCAGGTGGAAGTGCCCTCTCTTGAAGGCTCTGTGGAAGCTAAGGTGTAGGGGGGAATGAGGGAAATGCCACACTGCAATGTTCAGGCCTTGGATGTCCTGCTTCACACAGAGTCCTGTGGATGACACCACTTCACTAACTATATCCACCATGTGTATAATTATGAGTGGGCCCTGTGGTTATCATCATCATCTTACAGGTGGGGAAACTGGTACCCAGAGAGTGTCAGTGCCTTACGCAGGGCAGATGTGGAGCTGAGACTGAAGTTTGGGATGTCTGACTGTACAGCTCAGGTGCTTTCAAATCCACTGCAATGCTCCTCATCCCTACCTCTCTCTCACTGGTTTAACATTAGTGCATTTTTTTCTCTCTAGCATTCTTCATGCCATCTCCCTGTCAGCCCCCTCATCCTAACCTTCCTCTAAGAATAACTGGTGGGAGGTAAGTGAGGAAAGGTTTAAGAACCATTATCCTGAAGCACAAAATAACCAAGGAACTTCATCTTGGCTGCAAACCCTGCTAGAAACTTCTTTTGATACACAGATGTATTTAAAAAGCAAAAAATTTCACATAATCACACAGTCATTTTTTTATCTTATAATATCTCATTTATCTTTTTTGCAGTTGTCATAGATCTAAAACCCTCAGTGTTTTAGTTAGCCTAATTACATTTTAATTGCACAGTCTTAAGTAACCTGTTGGCAATATAATGTTCCGCGTATACCCATCAATGCCTAAAAACACAAAATGTCCTTCCCTGACAGCACCCTCAGCAAGTACTCCATGTCCCTCACTCTACTGAGCTGCGTGGTTGAGAAGCAATTACAGAATTAAAATGCAAAAGAAAATGAAATTTAGACATTCTTCACTGTGGCCCTGTATGTTGACACTACATGCAGCACCGTCAAAAACAACTCAAATTGAAATCGGACGCCTGTAAACAAGTAACATTCTATTGCAAGATGCAGTTTCAAAATAGGTCACGATCCTCTTCTGGCATTCAGATGGCATTTCTTCAAGCAGAAAACTAAACTAGGAATTAGTGAGTCTTAAAATGAATTAAAAAATAAGATCAACATAGTCTTTACAGGTATGATGTTAACAGGTGCTGACAGCCACCACCGTCATTTTAATTGGGGGCTGCCGTTACCTCAGGAAGTACGTGTGGATTTGGTCTCACCTGTCCAGGATCCACTGTTACTGGAAATAGAACATTGGCTCCAACTTTTAACTAAATTGACATTTTGTTTTCTTGAGATCCTTTACTAGCAGAAGGTAAATCAACTTCTTGGGAAAGTGTTACAGTGAAAAGTGCCCTGTGACTTTTATTGCACTGAATTCCTTGAATCTTGCCAGTTCACAAGATGCCACACTCGATGATTTTCAATGGTGTCTGACAGCATTGTGGCCCTGGGAAAAACTGGAAAGTAGGTAACATGTATCTTTGGTGATCTCTCTTTATTATGGGCTGCATGCCTGTGTCCTCCTCAAATTCATATCTTGAAATCCTAACCCCCAAAGTGATGGTGTGTGGAGGTGGAGTCTTTGGGAGGTGATTAGGTCATGAGGGTGGAGCCATCATGGATGGGATTAGTGCCCTTATGAGAAGAGATGACAGAGCTGGTTAGCTCTCTCTGCCATGTGAGGATACAGCAAGAAGACGATTGTCTACGAACCAGAGAATGGGTTCTTATCAGATACCAAATCTGCTGGTGACTTCACCTTGGACTTTCTGGCCTCCAGAACTAAGAAATAAACATTTATTCTTTAAGTAACCCAGTCTGTGGTAATTTATTACAGCTGCCCAAATGGACTAAGACATTTTTCCTCTGTCTTTCTTGACTCTCCCTCCAATTTTCTCTAACCCCCCACTGCTCTATTCCCCAGGAGCCCAGTGCTGTCTTTTAACTGCCCATGAGGCCTGCCCTCCTCCATGGTGCTCCGTATTCCAAAATCAGCCACCTCGCTCATTGTTGAAACTTTTATTCCTCTGTTTCCAAGGTTTAAACTAGAGGGAAGGCAGGATAACAAAAATATTCTATATTCAGTTAAGAATAACTGATGTTTAATCATTCTAACTGGCACTTAAAAAATATGCTCTTATCTGAATTCATATGGATGGTCCGCGGAGGAAGGATTTTTGAACAGCACTTCCCAATATATCTGCTGTACTAGGATGTGGTGAGGACCTGGGATCTTACTATTGAAACACAGCCATCACTCTGCATTGTCCACCTTTGCAGAACAGTGAGGCCAGTTCTCTATGCATATGATGAATCCAAGCCCAAGGATACTACAGCTGCAGACCTAATGGAGATTGGATGGTTGGTTTCCTCCTAGGAGAAGAAGCCAAGGAGGCATACATTCCTTCCGCCTCCTGTCACACATCAATTAGTGGCTCTTTCACAAATTAAAAGCTGACATCATTGTGAGGTACAAGAATGTACTACAGCTTAAAGTGGACTCCTCTTACACTGCTCAGCCTCCATATCTAAGCACGGTCTAAGGAGACTTGAGCTTTTAACAGGCTCAAGAGAAGGACTGGGGAGGGGCTCACACTGCCCTTTCTTTGGGATAGAAAGTTTGGCAGCGTAGTACCCCTCAGCAGGGAGAGATTTTTTTCCTGTCTGTTGCCCTTCATCATGCTGAGAAATTGCTAAAGAGGTGTCTGGCTGTCAGGTGTAGAATAGAATTGTTTGGTCCAGTCAATTAATACAGAGGTTCTAAGAGCGGTGTGTGATCATGAACTGATGGATCCTAGAAAAAGGCCTCTCTCGCTTCCCTCACTCTGGGCTCTGATGAGTAGGGCATTTCTCCTGAATCTCCTCCTCAGGCCAGGCCTTTTCTGTGTGAGAGAATGCAGTGACCCCCAGAGAGGGACCCATAGATAGAGGCAGGAGCCCTGGCCCTGGGCTAACTGGTGGCGCCCTGTTGAGCCCCAGATGCAGATGAGGACAGCACTCATGCTTAGTGGGTTCTTAATTTGACTCGGAGTTTCTTAGGAGAAGCAGGTGCTATAAAAAACAATGGGCACTAGTTTAGGCAAATGTTCCAAAAAATTTTATGCCTAAAAGAATAGCATAAGCCCCGTTTGAAGCTGGCATTCAAAAAAAGAACCAGACAAACAAAGACAAACTCCAGCAATGCATCAGTTCTAATTTAGCTGGATGGGAAGACTGAAGAGGGGCTCAGAGCAGGAAGGCAAAATGCAAGCCACCCTCAGGTGAGCTGGATGTGGGGACTGTGTCACTTTTTGGAAGACCCTGCTGACCTGAAGATGGGTCCGTAACTCAATAGTCGTAGTCCTCTGGGTCAAATGCCATGTTCAAGTGACCTTCGGGTTAGGGGTCTACAGAAAGCTGGTGTGATTTATCTATAACATTGTAGTACTAAATCTATTCCAACTTCCATTTTTAATTCAAGATCATTTTCTCCTTCTTCTTTCTTAAATAGGGATTAGTGGTTCAATTTGTTTCCTAAGTTGCTAGGCGATAAATTTATGAGTTTACAACTAGGCACCTAACCCTTCCCCATGAACTCAGCCAAAGCCATTTATTTATCACAGTAAAAGGAAAGAAGTGCTTTGCTGGAGGGTTCCTCTTTCACATAGTCTAATAGGGCTAACAGGAATGGAAGAGTAATTAACACAAAATTAATTATCCACTGCACTTCAAACTAATTGGTGGAAGGTAGCTGTGGAGTAATAGAAAAAACATTAGGGTAGTGACCGCAAAACTCAAGTTTCAGTCCCACTCCATGACCAACTGGCTGTGTGACTGTGGGGCAGTCACCTAGTGAAGGGCCTGAGGCCTGTCTCTCCCTGTCCAGTGCAGGTTGAACACCCTTCTCTGTCTCACCAGGGCAGAGCTAAAGAGACACGATGGTGAGGAGTGGACTGTTTAAGAATAAAGAACAATGAAAACATCAAACATGAATATTAAGGTGTGACTTTTGGTTGTGCCTTATTACAGGCTGAGTGGCCATTAGTACCTCAAGTCGTGGTCTTCAAAAATGTCTACACTTCACAAGTCCTTCACTGCAAATCAAAGTAGCCCACCAAGACAACATTTCCCAGGGGAGAATCTCAGGTACACACTGAAAGCAGGCTCCGGAGTTTATCAGTGTGCTCCCTTCCTGCTGTGGCATTAATTAGAGGTTGGACTTTGCTACAGAACAAAGTGTCACACAGATGCCACCACAGACGCTGCTAGAATCTAGGTGTATGAGCGCAGTTCCTTTCATGCCACAACTTGTGGATGATCCTTCAGTGATGGATCCTCCACATCTTCTGGAACCAGTCCTTCAGCCCTGGCTGGGGGAAGGGTTTCTCAGCCTACTACCAAGTCCACCAGTGTAGCTTTACACTACTCCTTTTTTCTACCTTTCTACTACAATCTCTCTGCTTTGGCTTCTCACATACCAACTACTAAACTATGGTCCTGAGTCACCCACTCTCTCCCTATCCACTGTTAGATTGGGGTAGATCAGCTACCTTGCAGGACAGTAGGATGGGGTCCTGGTAGAACTGTCAATGTTGAAGTCAATGTCCCCAAATTCCTAAAAAAGCCAGGCCCATGTTGTCATATAGTCATAGAGAGGTTGGCTCCACCTGCCACCAACATATGCATTTTGCCTTTGCTCTAGATTTTGAAAATATGCTGGGGGCCACATCACAAGGACTTGAAAGATATGCTGGTCTTCTTTATTTAGTGTCTTTATTCACACAATTATCTTTTGCATATCTTTCAGTGCTTATACTTCCAAAGAGTAGTCATCAGTGAGCAGAGATCTATGGATAACTCATCCAGTTATTGGCGATTGAACCAGAAATGTCTCAAGGTATAGGAGATCAAGTTCTATGACCCTTGATGTGTCCATAAGCAAAATGCAACAAAACCGACAGAGCTGTCTCATTCCTCTGATCATAGAGAGTGGGTGAGAGGGGCTGCTCTTAATACAGAAGCATCCAGTCATACTACCAGCTCCATGGAATGACAGCCTTAAGACTCTGGGAACTACTCAGGGCAAATATCACTTGTTTAGAAATTCTCAGACTCCAAGCCTGCTAAGGTTGTTAATCTAAGAGAGTGTCAAACTCACATAGTGAAAATTTATTGCTATTCATGGTTGTCAAATGCAAATGGGGTAGAAACAGTTGCTCTAGGTTAGGGAAAAATATCCAAATGCCAAAGCCCTTCCTGAAATTGAGATTCAGCAATAGCAATGGTATCTTCGATGAGAGTTCCATAAACTTTAGGAACTTTTTAAATGAACTGACTGTAATTTAAGGAGAAAGAAAGTGTGTGCACCAGTAACTAAAGTTGCTTCCAAAAAGTAAAAAAGCAAATCAAGTGAGATTTTTCTGATTAGAGTCTCCACAATTGTAATCTGACAACAATAACTGTCAACAACATATTGCAGAGTTGAAACTATCATTCTACGTAAGGCATCTGATTCTGAGTATGTTTTGGATATCATCAGCCAGCATGATCATCAGAACTGTTTCTAAAAGTGGTAGGTTGCTTTCCTAAGTAGATCTGGGGAGCTTGGGCTTATCTGACGGCTGGTGGAGCAATCTTCTTTGTTACAGAAAACAAATCAGGAAAACTTCAAATTGGTCGATTCAGATGCTCAGGTTTATTATAGACATCCAAGGGTCATTGCCCATGGGACTTTTCCCTGGAATCTAAATTCAGCCGTAAGTTACCACTGTTTAAGTTCACCTGTTTCATGACTTCTGTTGCCTTTTCCAAAATGGAGTGGGTCCAGGTGGGAGGACGGGGGAGGCAGTCCAGAAAACAAATGGTATTCACCAAGGGGGATCACCTCTTCTTCCCTCTTTCTACACTTTATCAGTTGGAGGGATGTACGAATAAAACACATGGACATTTTGGGGTTTTGTGAGGAGGAACCGGTGGGGTTTGGGTTTATGGAGAGCGAAAGTGTTCAGTCTAGCACTGGCATTCTGTCATCTTCACCAAGGAAGGGACTCTAAATGCTTTTTAAGTAAAATGCAACTTAGTTGTCCACACTCGACCTTAAAACTCACAAACTATTCCCACTATGAGAACAAAGTAACAGCATGGCCTGAGCTGCTTTTCTGACTGTGCTCTTAAGAAAACAATATAGTTGAAACCCTCTCTTCCACCTCAATAGTTGAGAATTAAATGCAATTATAAAATATAAAACTCAGAGACTGTGCTCCTTGTGTCAGGTATTCATTACATACATCAAAAGAAAGCACATATACACCTCTAGAGAAACGGAAAGACAAATGTTCCAGTCTTTCACCTCGCAAGTTTCCTCTGATGGAAGAATGATGACATTGCTGCATTTTCAGTCCATGCATGATTTTTTTTTCTGTTTTAATGTTCTCTAGACCCAAAGAGACATGCCAGATAATGAGTGGCCACAGTCTATTAGAGAAGTCACCATGGAAAAATGAAAGAAAAATATGGGTAGGAATGCTAGATCAAGACCCCCAAATGAAATGTGCCCTTCTATATATATGTATGAGTGTGTGTGTGTGTGTGTGTGTGTGTGTGTGTATCTACAGTTGTGTTTAGGGAGCCTGAAGATGGGGAGTGGGGAGTGATTAAAGTGGGGGATGTTGGGTATGACAAGAAGCAAAGGATTTTAGATTATATACTCAGGACTGTATCTGGTGTCAAACCAAAGAGAGGTATGGTACCCACCTTATTTGTTGCATCAATAAATTTGACTCCTTTATAAGAGACGGAAAGGATAATAGTAGGGACCTTCTTCATTTGCTCTGTAGACTTCTGGAATTAAAATTAGAAAGCTGTTAGAACTGTTGGTGTTGCATGGCAACTGAAGCACGTAATTTTTCCCCTTGAAAGATAAAAATGAGCTCAAGTTAAAAACAACACACACACGCACATCAAACACACACCAAACACACCCTAATTTAAATGTATGTCTCTCTTCTCTTGGGCTTAGCTGTGGTTCAGGCTTATAAAGTGTCTGTCTTGCACTTGAGGATCTAAAAAGAGCTTGTTCTGCTGCTTCATGTGGGAGAAGGAATACTCCTTTTCCCTGACACCAAAGGGAGAAACGAACAGCTCTGTCTCCTACTGCAATTTCAAGCGATTACTCTTTTGACTAGAGTTAAATCATGTTAGATTTAACTCCAAGGGCAAGTTTAGCACTAACAAAATATATACCAACACCCTCCCTTTTTTCCTAGTCACTCTCTTTCTTTAAGGCAAAAGGTATGTCTGAATAAGTACTTAAAATACGGATTTAAAATACATCATTGTGAGTTTTTCTTGAACCTGGCCAAATCCGTAAAAGCTGATAGTATATTTACAGCAGAATCGCTTGTGACCACATAGCATATAATATCACTGTATAACAATTAAGCCCTCTGGAAGCAGGCTATATTTTGAGCCATAGCAAAAGTGGACAGTCCAGGTAACCTACTTTATCATTTAGACCCATTGTATTCCCTTTGGCTGGGTTCTTATGATAGATGTTCACACTGGCTTAATGGGCTTAGAGCTTGCAGCTTCTATGGTTTTATGCATCTGCAAAAAGTTCCTCTGTAATTTAGTACATGCCTTTTCTGTTTAGTTTTATCATTCATCACAGGTCACCAGCAATCTTTTTACTTCATCTCCTGCTATGGATACTTCTAATAATCACATTAAACATCAAGACAAACCTACCTGACAGTTAGCCTGATGGATTTTCCAGATAAGACAGGTGGGAACATAATAGGAGAGAAAATACATAAAAAGGTGAGCGGAAACCATTTCAATAATTCACCAACAGCCTAAATTCATTAAAAAGTAAATGGAGAACAGGCTTTACAAATAGATGGAGATGCAGCGAAACTGTAATTTTAGAAATTGCTGCTGGCTTTTACAGACCCCATCTCTCATTTTCTTTTTCTATTTTCTCATCATTCTGTTTACCGCATGGCATAGTCTTACGACCAACATGCGAGAACTTTCCATTTTGAGTGTTCTACAACCAGCTGTCTTACGTATATTAAGGGAATCAAGAGAAAATTATATTAACTTTCTTGATTTCTTTATTTATATTAACCAATTTTCCATTTTTAAATTCTGAAATGTGACCAGCATTAAAGAAGGCTTTTAGTTGGATTGTGTGAATGAAACCCATTTAACTCAATAATGGTAATTAAATTGCATCTTTCACTTGAGCCATGGAAAAAAAGCCACTTTTGGGACATCTTTTTGATAGCTACTATCCCTGGTTCAAAGATAAAGAAAATGGATTACTAAGAGTAATACTATTTAATATTTATGAAATGTTTCATACAATACAGAAAAAACAGCTCTCTTGAAGTACTTTTTAACTAGTTTTAAAATTACCCAGACTTGCCAGTTTTCTTTTGTGATTGCCAAAAAGAGATGCTATAAAATTGGAATGTAAGGTTAGATACTTTTATCTTTTTAATGCTTTATCCCACCAACTCTGGAAAATGTGGAAGATAACTCCGAGGCAATGCTAGAAGAAACAACATGCAGGGTGCTGATTTTAGGACAAAGCAGTGGGCTGAATTCCGTAGAGACACTGGGCTGTGGCAGGCACAGGCAGTGGCTTGGTGGACGGAATGTGTGTGTGTGAAGAATTCTTGGCAAAGAGTAACAATGGATTTCAACAAATCACCTCATTCATCTCTTGCCATGAATATGTTCTCCTGAACAGACCTATCTGTAACATGAAACAATATAGAGCTAAAATAAGATTAAAATATCAACATTTTATTTAGTATTAGGAAAAACTCAAAAAAGAAAAAAGAAACCCATTTGTCATTCATTCAGCAACTGAGTGGTTATATTAGGCAGCCTCCTGTGCTGGAAAAATTCCGAGTCTACTGCAGAGGATGTCAAACAGACCTCAAACTGCGTGCAAACTCCAGTCTGCTGAAAGTGGCTGTCCCAAGTGCTGTGTTGAGAAGGGTTCCGAGCCTGTTTGAGCTGAGTGGGAAAGGAGATTGGGAACGATGTCTGCCATGAGAGAGGGAGAGGAAGAGGCAGCGCCTGAGCTACACAGCACCATCCCTGGCCCGGTCTGATACAAAAAGCAGCTACAACACAAATGCTGACAGATGTGACAGAGGTATGAATAGACGGCCTCCAGAGCACTGAGCAGGGAGAGCCTCACTTTGCACAAGTGAGGCAAGTCTTCAATCTTTCATTCAACAAACACCGATTCACTGCCAGGAGTGACTGAACTGGCTCTTAAAGGATGAACAGGAATTTTCCAGGTGGCAAAAGAGGACAAAAGAGGCTGTTTTAGCAGCGGAATCAACATACACATGCCTGGAAATGAGAATAATGTTGTGGGCTTGGGTAATTGGCGGGAGATGAGGCTAGTACAGTAGGTTTGGAAGAATGTGACTTACTCTGCCAAGCTAGGATCCATCGGAAGCTTTTAAGTAGGGGGTGACACAATCAGATCTGTGACGCAGAAAGATAGTTCTGGTGGTTGGACGGACTGGAACAGCTGGAGGCTGACTGCAGAGGGCAGGAAGCTGTGGTGTAAATTCGAATGAACGACCCTAAGCACCTCAGTTGAAGTAGGGACAATGGAAGAGGGAGCCACAATTCCAATGACCAAGGGGCCATTCACTGCAATAAGGAACACGAGAGGGGAGCATGCTTTTGCATGAAATCCTTTTGAATGTGCTCAGTTTGATAATCAGGTGGAGATGTCCCGTAGGAAATTAGAAATAAGAATCAGATCTGGAAATCCATCCACATGGCGGGGGGTGGCTGAGGAGATGGGAGCAGACGAGGTGGCTCAAGGGGTGAACAAAAAGAGGGCTGAGAGGCACACCTCAGGGGAAGGTTAATACTTAAGAGGTGGGGCAGAAAGAAGAGTCAATGAAGGACCCTGAGACAGAGCAGGAAGGAGCCTGAGAGCCGTTTCACCCAGGTCAAGGAGAAGACTCCTTAGAAGGTGGGAGCAGTGCCCGAGGCCATGAGGACTACAAAGGCATAAAAATCTGCCAAGCACAGTGGCTGGCACACATCAGAGCTGCTACTTTCATTGGGTTTCTCAGGTGAAATCCCTGGCTTTAGCAACTAGAAAAATTTGTTGCTGATTTTCTTAAGAGCAGCTTCAGGAAAACAGTGGCAGCACACAGAGAAAAGAACATAGTGAGCTGTGCAACGAATGTCAGTGAAAGGGAGCAGAGAACTGGAATAAAAGACAGGTCAGGACACATGCTCTCCGGCTGAAATGAAGGCATCAGTACTGATTTTTGTCCTGATACGAAGATGCCACATCGTATGCTCAGTCAAGCTGAACAAAGAAGAAAAGATAAAGGATGGGCATTTCTTTTTCCTTCGTGGGTGCCAAGAATCCCTGCTTCCCTACCTGGAGGCAGCACCGGAGTGCCAATGATGCAGGCTCCACACAGGCCTCTAGGAATGGCAGTGCTGGGGGTGGCCACACATTCCAATCTGGAGCCCAAACTGCACCTCTCTCCCCACTGAGCACCTTGAGGAGAAGATGATGGACACTGGCAGCCACGGAGTTCAAAGGGACTGTAGGAGGTCTGCAAGGTAATGCTCCTTCTTTAAGGCATTTATACTTTCTACCAGAGATAAGAATCTAACCTCTTTTTTGGGGATTTTCTGATGGGATACTTTAACAAAGCTTTCAAAGAGGTCTTTTCATACATAATTTTAATGAAAGATGAAAATGCACAGAAAGAAGGCAAATATACTGAGTCTTTAGCGAGACGAATCAGGAAGGCAAGAAATCTAATAAGCGCCCACTTTATTCCATGGAGGCTTTACAGATATGGAAATGTGAGCATAGAGCTTCAGTCTATCACAGGCAGCCCAAGTCCCATGCGGCCCATTTTCTCTTCCGTGTTGCAATCATCATCTTCTTCTCCTTCCGGAGCACGAAGGCACCTGGTCTGGACATCCCTGCTCAAGTTACAAAGCACTGGCTCTCAGGAAACATTGGTTCTATGACCTATCCACATGATTTGCTGGGTTTCTGAATAGTCAGTACTCCCATACATGTGTGTTAAAAACTCAGTCTGTATTTATCTGTGTAGACAGAATTCTCTTCAGGCCCGTTCCACAGTAAAATGCTCAGAGCAAACCTTATTTTATGGTTCTCTCTTGCTCCTAGTAGTTTTTTTCTAAGCCATGCTCTTTGTGGAATTTCGGAGGTTTCCCCGAGTCCTGAAATTCCTCCCCTTCAGTGCCAGCTTTACAGCAGAGACTAAGTTGTAATGAGGACCTCTGGGTACCTAAGCAGCTGAATACTCATGGGTAACGCTGCAAATTAACTTAACCTTTACAGCATCTTGCTCTCCTGCTAAAAGCATTATAGCGCCATTCAACTGTATTTTGTTCACAATTTCCCAAATGAAGATTATCATTCTTTCATTATTCCAAGAGAAACAATATTTAGTTATATAGAAATGTTACATTTCTAAAACCTAAAATAAAATGCAACTTAAACTCAAAGCCAGCCTTATACTTATCACTTACGTTTATACTGCCTGTGAGCATCACACAGAACAGGGATCATAATTTAGTATCTCAAGGTGGACACCGGAAATATTGTTCTTAATAGATAAAGTAATTGAAGACTTTTAGAAATTTTTTTTTAAAAAGAGGGATTTTTGGATTCAGCAAGGAAAGTAATAAACATCTTTTTTCTTTTCCTTTTAAATTATAAATTAAGAACTGCTTGGAATCTACAATCAAGTCAGAAATCACCATTGGTGCTTTTATTGTAGCTTTACAGCATGCCCCGGAAAGAAACAGCTTCTCATTTTCTAACGCAGAAGCAACAGTGCGAGAAGATCCCTTCGAGGCTGCAGGGGCTGATCCCAGCGCGCGGCCGGCACAAGCGGGAACAGGAGCAGGGAGGTTTACGGCCGGGAGCACTTCAGTCGTGAGCTGGAATGTTGGTTTTGAGTTTATGTTCGTAATAAGACTCATCTGTGGCCCATAATCAGCACAGAGAGGGAGACGAGTGAGGCAGTCCCTGGCGAGGACGTCACTGACCCTTCATTCTTACAACACCCTGATCGTTTCCAGTGTACTTTAAGCGCAGACGGGGGAATAGATTTCCAGATGGTCGACTGCCATCCAACTTAGAGTATATTTTTAACCTACACATGGCTACCCTGAGAATGCTTTCTAGTTAGATCTTTAGTGCCGAGTCATAACTATTAATTTTACCACGTAATATTTCCCTTAGTTGGTTTCAAAGCTTAATTAGAATATTCAGTTTCAGCAAGTAAATTAAAATAGGATCAAACAACTACATTTGGTAGCCCTAAGTGACTTTCAAATGATTAAAAAAATACACAAAACAAGGACTGTTGTGGTGATTTTGTATGCAGCGAAACTAACTATGCTGTGGGGATTATAAGAAATAAAAAGCAGACCACAAACCAGCCATTTGAAACGAACTCTTTCCCTTTGGAACTCAGTTTAAATGTCACTTTCTGGGGAAAGTGTAGTCTGGTCCCCAGCCTGAGGGGATGGCTTTCCTCCTGGGCTCCCCCCGCCCGCCCTGTGAGCCTCTACCCCTTTTTTTGGCCTCCACTGGCCTGCTCTGGAGGGTCTGTTTCCCTCACTACACGGGGAGTTCCTTGAGGACGGTCCATAGCTTTCTTGTTTTGCCTCCCCCATAATGACTAGCACACGGTCTTAGGTTGAGCCCTATG